CCCCAAAACCCCAAAACCCCAAAACCCCAAAACCCCATAACGCAATATTGAAGGTCAAATTTGTTAGTAAGATAATAAACTTAATATTTAGTGATATATTAAATATCATATCGTATTTGCTCTACTCGAAATGTTCATCATTAAACTTAGTTGAGAACATTTAATGGTCTTCGATCTGAAGAAAGCAGGTTTACATTCGAGGATGAGCCAGTTCTGCCTGTTACTGACTAAGGCATTCCGGTATCTACACCACCCATTCCTGTTCCAGCCGCAGATCTCTTCGAACTAACAGCTGTGGTGATGGTTCCCATTCGGCTCGATGCTCCAATTTATGACGCCCCATTAGTTCCACCAGCTACACTGCCAGTTCCCCCCATGCTTAGTCCAGCATTGGAGCTCGCAGTGGTCATCTTGTTATTGTTATTATTATTATTGTTCAGCATGTGAGTCAATATATCTTTAGTGTACTTAAGTCTCTTTGTCATCTCTGCGTTATTAGATTCAAGAGCGTGATTGAGAGGCAATGTCTGTCTCTCTCCCTTTTTGTTTACGTATGTTACCAATCTGCTTTCAGAATTTAACAGAATCTCTGTATGATCCTGGAAGTTCACCTACACTATTTTATTACTCAGTCTGAACATTATTGCATGCTTAGTTCTCATCCATTTCTTAACATAGACGGGAGGTTCCTAAGAGGCAGGCAGTTTTTTCTATGAGAGAAGGTCATCTGTGGGACTTGGTTGCTCTTTATTATTTTCAAGGTAGGATCTGAAATGTTGAAGTAGAGTAACTTTCTTTTAAAGATCTTTAGGGTAATCTGTAAGATTATAAGTCTACATTACATCCTACTTTTCTGAAGTAGAAACAGCCTTTCTTTCATAGTAGTAAAATGTATGGCCATTTGGATCTATAATGATTTTTGTGGAGTCATTGAAGAATACACCAGTGGCTTGATTGGACAATAAATAGCCAAGTCCATATTTAGATGAGTAATCAACCCACTTCTTTACCCAGCAGCTAGGACCTGTCAAAGATTGATCTTTCATAATTCTTTGAGTACTTCCTTTATCTGATGGAGAAGTTGGTTTATTAATTTAAGTATCTTTAGTCAAGGCACCCTAGCTGTCAAGGTTTCTCTTAAATACTCCTCCTCTATCAGTAGCAGCCATTACGTTATTTTAAGCTGTTTAATATTGCCTGTTTGTTCCTTAAGAGGTACCACCAGCTGTTTAAACTCCTGCCCTATTGCCTTGAATTGGATTAGCTGGAGCTGTGCTCTCTAATCTTTATGGCAATCCTTTGGCTTGTGAGGTGAAATTAAAGCCCTATGGCATATACTATCTAATATATTATGCTGAGGGAGGACAAGCAAGGAATGATTAAGGTAAGGTTTTTGGGATAGTTCCTCCATTATTGAAGAACTCATGAGCAATTATCTCATCCAAATTAGGTCTCATCTTTGGATCGCCTATCAGGATCTTTGTAATAAGATCTCTGGCACCATCTGAAATAATCACATGTTGAGGAAACTCATACAGATTCTTTCTAATTTTAGAGTATGTGGTTTTGACATCAGATGTCTCGAAGGGTGGTTTACCGATTATAAGTGTATAAATGATGACTCCCAATGACCAAATGTCGACCTCATAAGAGTGCCCCGCTTTGCCCTCTAGGACCTCTGGCGCAATATAATTGGGGGTACCGCAGATTGTCCTCTTTTTCTCGCCATCGAAGTCCAGTTTAGTGGCTAACCCGAAATCTCCTAATTTAATCTCCATTTTATCATTTAGGAATAAATTTCCCAATTTTAAGTCTCTGTGGATAATTCTATGAGAGTGCAAGTATTTCAAAGCGGAAATTATTTAAAGAGCATAGCACTATACTTCTAGCTCATGAAGTCTCTTTCTCCTTCTCAGTAATTCATTTAAACTTTAATTATGGCAAAGTTCAAGTAGTATGTATACATTTTCTGCATCTTCAAAGAAATGTTCAAATTTGACAACATGTTGATGGTGGACAGATCTGTGAATCTTAATCTCACTCATCAATTTCTACTTGGCTCTGCTCTTGGTGAGGGAAGCCTTTTCAACGACTTTAGCTGCTTGAATAGCTTTTGTCTCCTGATTTTGGAATTCATAGCATTTGGCGAAACCTCCCTTGCCAAGGAATTTACCTTTTTAATATTTTCTGACTTGAACTTCTCCGTTGTACTTGACGATCTTCTCCTCCACGATAGTCGGTTGAGTTGCATCCATTTTCTATAATGTATTGATTTAATATACTTGCGCATTGCGGATGTAATTAGGAACTTACTTCGCTTTGTGTTGTCAATATAAAAAGTTAGAACTATTTGATTATTTACTGTTTAAAATTATGAAATTTCAAATATAATATATATTGCAATAAATTCAATGTTGGTTACTCAGATTCTATAAGTCGGGGTTTTGGGGTTTTGGGGTTTTGGGGAGATCGGAAGAGCACAC